TTCCCTATTACCCCAACTCAAATCATGAGAATTTCAGCTGTTCTTAAACTAGAAGTCTAGACTTCATGTTTCCTGAATGAAAACCTGAAAAGATGAAGGAGAGTGGTATGATAAAGAGTCATACTTAGGCAGGAAGATTAAGTGTCACAGTTTTTAACACTTGAATTTACCAACTGCAGAACTCAACCTTAAGGCTTATCTGAATTATGGCTCCAAGTCCTGTGAACATGGACATCAGCAATACCCAGCAAGCCCTAGTCTCACCTGCGATACCTGGGCAACCCTGTGGTTTTAAAGATTTAGGGGAAATAAACAAACCCAAACCAGCCACACCCCAAACAAAACCCCATAGTCATCTCTGAAATTCACCTACTGCTTTGTAACACCCATGTTCATTATAAAACCCCATAAAGTCACTCATTATAGAGCTGGAAGCAGAACTGTAGTAACTGCTCACTGCCAACCTACAGCACACAAAAATATTTCTGAAGCATGGCAACATAGCTGGAGAGAGGTAAGCAACCTGGAGAATCCTTATTTCTCTTTCCAAGCTGAGGGACCATGATGCCTTTTGTCCTAAATGCCTAAATTCATAGGGAGAAGTGAGAAATTCCAAGGCACACTGTAGCTGCGTAGATCTATTTTACACAAAGAAGAGGTAAATAAGTTCTATATTATAGAAGAAAAAAAACACCACACAACAACAAAACAAAACCAACACACAAAAGCCAACTTTCCAGGCTTTTCTCTATTATTTTCTTTTACCCTTGTATTATTCACTGACACTGTTTCCAGAAGTTGCATGGGTATCATGGTCTCATCTAACAGTAGAAATACACAGTTCTTCGTGTTTCTCACTTCCAAAGAATCATTAAGGCAGAAGTCTGGAGAAACAGTCCCCAAAAGTAGTATTTGAAATAGGTGGTGGCTCTTAGCTGTTCAGCAACTTGCAGATTTATTTACGGAAGTCCATGCTAAGTTACTGAACTTGAAAAATATCTCCAAAAAGCAAGCATCTGGTTTCCATCTCTTATCATGGGAACCAGGAAAGGGCTTTAGCTGAAAATAAAATACTGGGGTGCAAAAAAGTAAGATCTCAGGGGGGGAGGGACAGACACATTCAAAGAAAAATTCCCAATGAAATGCATTTAATATTTAAAAACCCAGAACTATCAGGAACCTAAAATTGTGTGTCACAAAAAGAAAAAAAAAAAAAGATACTTCCCCCAAGAATATTAAGGTATATATAATATTAGAAGTGAGCAAATAACACACCAAAATTACAGAACTAATTAAGCTTAAAGACACAGGCCTGACAATAATTGACAACACAAGCAAATGTTAGTCACCTACTGCTGTCCACGGCTGGCAAGCAGAATTGTATCTATTTCCATTTAAGCAAAGTGGACTTCCATTGTGACAGCTGTAATTCCAGTTCATTTCAGAAACAGAAAAATACTGTATTTAAAACCACAACATGCTATATTGCCTTACACAGGAAAAAAGGGACCTTTTATTCTCCTTTCAAATATTTTGCCAACATTCATTTACATTACAAAGTATCTAAATTGGTTTTCCACAAGACATACGTGCACATCTGCCTCCATAAATATACTGCTTTAATCCTGTAAGTAAAGCTTTTGAAGACATTGCTTTAAATGTCCCTTCCAACCTCCCAGACAAGCTACTTCTTGCCCTTTATTGTGTTTCTCCAGGTTGTACTTTTTCCACTTTGCACATAAAGGAGAAGTCAAGTGAAAACCACACCAGTAGTGCAAAAGCATATCAATTTCAAATATTTATAAAAAGGAAGCTGCTCATAATTTCCTCTTTCGCTTTTGCCACAAAGACCCATGGAGTTTCCTTTGTAACTCTTAAAAAGCAGGCTGTTGCCATGCCTCAGCCACTGTGCAAACTGGGATGCTGGAGCCCATCAATGGCAGATGGGACCCACTTGGGTTCACTGGCTTACTAATCCCTCGAGCTTACCACAGCTTTTCTACCAACTATCATTTTGATCCTCAAAAAAAACAGAAACTAAAAAGCCAGAGCAAGACCATTTTTAAAAATACTGATTATTTTGGTTAGTCCACCCTGTGCAAACAGCACCTTCATCCCTGTCGCTGACATGCTGTGAGGCTGGTGGCATACCCAGCCACATTTCTCCTTATTGCCATTATTTCCACATTACGCTTAAGTCTGTGACAATGTATTAAATTTCCACATATTCCACAAGAATCTGTGCCACATTTTATTATAAGAGTAAAGCAGGCATCCATAGATGAGTGCACAGTTATTCTTATAATATATCATGAATAAAAGCCACTGAGTGCTACCACCAAAAACATACAAAATTGAACTTAAAAAGATATATACTGTTTCCTATGACTAATTTGATCAGAGTTCTTTTATATCTTTCATAAAACAGCACATGAACGCAGTCACAGTGCTAAAGCCATTAGCTCAAGCCATAATGCTCTTCCAATTTTCTTGGATCTCAAAGTAACACTGCGAACCAACTGACCATTGTATTCCTTTAAAGCAGCAGCTAACTAGGGTAGGATCAAAGAGTTTTTATATGTGTCCAAGCCTAACCTCAACATCCTTGCATCGTAGTTCAAACTATTAGCAGTCTGTATGGAAATAGATAAAAGTTTGGGGAAGTATAAAAAGCCCTAAAGATAATTTAAAACAGTAATTTAAAAAAAAGTCAGATATGTCTTAGCTTTTCCTGTCTATAGCAACAACTCATATTTTGAAGGCCAACATAGTTTCACTTTGACAGCATCTCTTTAACTTTACACACAAACAATAATGGCTCAAAATATTTAATGTAGTTTTGTTTTGTGAGAAGAGGCAAGGTCATAAGAATATAATTATGGAGATCCCTTAATATTAAAATGGCTTATCTTGCCACCTTGTTTATAGTCTCAAGATGTCCTTCCCAGGAGAGCATCTGTAATCAGCGTGAACCAGTCAAGAAGCACTTTCTTCCAGGCTAAAAAGAGCAAATAAACAACTGAAGCAAGTCTCCTGCTAAACAGCAATCAGAGCAAGGAAGTTTTCACAGGCAGAGGAGCACGGGAGAGCACTGTCTACAGCTTTGGTTTCATGGGATCCAGGCAGAATTAGAAACAGCTGAAACCATGGGACTGCAAACCAGCAGAGCTGCAAGACAGGGCATCTGTCCCACCCCCAGATGCTGGGACCCAGGCTATTCCTTTGATCTCAGCTAGTCTGATCCTGGCTTAGCCTTCAGCTGTCAGGTAGCCGAAGCTGTTGAGTCAGATGCTACGCTGGGAGGAAGGGTGAGGACAGGAGGGGACTACACTAACTCATGATTAATTTGATTTTCCAACTACTCATCCCTACACTCAACCAGAAGCAGCTTCAAACAAGTTATTGCCTGACCAAGACACACCTGTTATTCCTTTCCTCTATCTGATATTAACCTTGCCCATCAATTTATGGTGACAGGAGAAAGTGGGTCAAACCCCCACACTCCCAGCTGCCTGCTGGAGTGACTCAGTGGGCTCCTGGAAAGTGCATTTCTAAGCAACCTGCCTACCTCCCTGGGAGACAGAAAAGCAAGTGACAGACTAGATAACAGCATGTGATTCTTCTGATGAGCTGCTGTGACACCTCTGTTTCATCAAGAATCTTTTACCACCAACTTTACAAGTTTCACTCGAGAAGAGGCCCTAGGCACAAACTGCACCACAAGATACTCCTTTCCTCTGAGGCTGAGCAAAGGGAATCCCTTATTAAGGGTAGCTAAGGACCAAAGTACAGAAGGGCAACAAGAAAAACAAGAAAAAACAAACAGGGCTGAACTGCAGCCTCTTAGAAAAGCATTCACACAACCATTCACTTAGGGCTGGGAACAAGCACCAGAACACAGGAGAGGTGGATGTTTGTCAGACCAACAACCATGTCACCTCTTTCATTCTTATCACGATGAACTCTCACAAAAGAAGTGGTCTTTTCATTAAGGGCAGGATAATTTTCACCAGTTACTACCTTTTCTGGCAGAGACACTGTTATGGGCCTCAAGAAATGCTCATCAAGGAGCTTCACATGGTTGAAGGTAGGCACGAAGTGCAATCACAGGGTGCAAGTGATGTTGTTTTCTTTGATAACAAGAAAAGATGGTTCTCATTATGGGATGGCTTCAGATGCTAATCCTCCTCCAAGATACTCACTCACATAATTAAATAAAAATAGCAGGCTTCCAATAAGAGCCAATATTTAGTCCTGCGAGACTTTTGAGAGATCTGAAGGAATTTCTTTGCACTGCGGCTCTTCCTGCTTCAGTTCCAATAACCCTCATGTCAGCATCCTGCTTCCTTCTTTCATCCTCTCACAAAACCTAATCCAAGGCTAGCAGTGATATTCTGAGATTCAATAAACTGTATGTTTCAGGAATGGGGACAATGGATCAAGCTGTAACTTCTCTAGTAGATGCTGCAATTAGCAAAGAGAGGCTGCTACTTTGTGAAACAGTAGTATTGCTCCGGGAAACATCTCTCCCTGACTCTGATCTGCAGAATTTTCATCTATATAACTCAGGAGTTAACTATTTAAATCCATCATTCTGTTTGCTAATAAAAATGATGATGTGGGACTCCACACAAAAAAAGTGGCCCTAATCAGTCAGGGGAGGGAGAAAGAAAAAGAGCCTGAGTAAGACCTGTTTTTAATTAAACAAGCATGTTAACAAAACTGAAGCTGAGAAGGAAGAGGAACTAGACTTCATTCAATGTAGAGCAGGTGACAAGGTTTGAAAAGGTCTTTGTCGACTCAAATAACTATCATCTAATAAGTTTTCTAAAACGCTATAAATCAAGACGCAGTTCAGGCTACAGCAGCATATCTTTCAATTATGGCCACTTAACTCCATGCAATTTGCCAAACCGCTTACATGTTTTTATCCTCCAAACAAATGTTACCATGATGATTAATTCTCTTTTCTTAAAAAAAAAAAAAGCAAGCTATCTTACCTTTGCAGAGTCATGTTCAAATTGCCTGTACACGCCTTGATCTTGTTTTGTGCTTCTAGATGAGTCATCCCATCCGTGCTTATCCCATCAATGGTGAGAACCACATCACCTATCCCCACGTGTGCTCGGGCTGCCTTGCCACCGTCATTAAGCTGAAATATCAGAAGAATGGTAAATGAGAAACTCGGATGGCTTACATTTATACTCGCTGAACACAAGACCACTAAATCTTACAGTGCCTATTTTTCAAAAATCAAACTCCAATTGGAAGCTGGAAGGAGATTTCCTACAAGGGCCTGTAGTGATAGGACAAGGGTTAACAGGTTTAAATTGAAAGTGGGGAGATTTAGATTAGATATCAGGAAAAAATTCTTCATGGAGAGGGTGATGAGGCACTGGAGCAGGTTGCCCAGAGAAGCTGTGGATGCCCCATCCCTGGAAGTGTTCAAGGCCAGGCTGGATGTGGCTTTGAGCAACCTGGTCTAGTGGAAGGTGTCCCTGCCCAAGGCAGGCAGGTTGGAAGTAGACGATCTTTAAGGTCCCTTCCCACCCAAACCATTCTATGATTCACCAGGAGACACAAGGCACACAGAGTTTCCTAGATGCCAAGTTCCAGCCTATTCTCTCTTCATATATTAATTTTTTCTCATAAGAGGAGAGAGGAAGGCTGTTTTCCATTCTAGATTTTTCATCTAAACAAGCTCTTCTATGTTTATGTATTTGTCAATGACTGGTCACATGCAGGGAAGACTTCATTAATACTGAAACTGACTTTTCCCCAGCTGCAACTACTAGAAAGTGAAAAGTTCAACATCACAAACAGACCAGTTAAAGGACTTGGTTTTCCCTTTCTCTTAGTAGGTTTAGAGCCCCCAGCCACCCACAGTATATTCAAACCTAAATAAGAAAGTCCTCTAGAGCAGTCTGCCTGTTTGATCAAGGTCACTGCTGAAGTTCAGCTGAACTGCCTTTAGTCCACTTGAATGAAAGTCTTGCAGCAGAAACCTTGGTAGAGTTCACATTATTGGCCCCAACTGAACAGTAAAATTAATCTTTTCATCTGACACTGCTGAATTTCAAGTAGCTGCATCCCCAAGAACAGAAATAGAAATAGAGCAACACATGTTAAGATCTATGCACTGATTTATATCCCTGGTCCTCAATCTGCTAATCGTTTTATAGCTGGCTGCAAAGAGCAGTCCTGGATGGTGCAAATTCCCTCTTTGTTTCAGATGTATTTTCTGGTTTACGGCAGAGAAGTTGTAGCTGCTTGTGCTGTGCACACAAAACCTCAGAACTCTTTCTTTGCCTGCAAGCATGAGACTATTCCTTGACAAAAGTGCAGTGTTTTAGGGAGGTGCTGCGAACAGCAGAATTACTTCATCTTTATTTCTGAAAGTGCAGTTCAACTTGGGTCACAGTCACAGTCTAGCAAGTGACTTCTCAAAGGGCAGCAGAAGGAAGGCTTTAATTTCTGTTGATTTTTAACTGCCTCTGTTATAGTTCATTCAGTAGGGATCAAGAAGTTCTGGTTCCTTGTGGTTCCTTTTGACAATGACCAACCACAAAGTACAGTCACCGGTCTTCACACCATTCACTTCTCCAACATAAAAACTGTGGCAAGTGACACTTGTCAGTAAACCTGTGGAAAGTGTCCCACCAGCCTCTACGATATGGTTAAGGCTTCCCTAATATCTGAGACTATAATACATGACAGCTGCAATGGTTATCGGACAGCATCAGAAGACAAGTACTTCAACAGAGGAAAAAGAATTGCCTAATGCTGCAAGAGAAATGCAAATGCAATACCCCAAGCACATATATTTTAACAACATAGAGACTGAAAGCAGAAATTTCCACATCCAGTGGATCATGGCTGTCATTTTTCAAGATCTAATTATGTCCCACAGACATCTGCAGTAGTAATCTTTAGCAACTAAAACCAATAGCCAGAAATTAAAACAAAACCAGAAAAATCCTTCCATTTGGTGTTAATCCTATGCTATTAAATAGATTATTCTGATGAAAGGGGAGGCCTGACATGCAGGAAGAAGACTTGACACCTCTCAGATTCAAAAGAGCAGCCATTCCCTCAGGAATATAGGTCAACTGAGCAGTTTTACTCAGAGTTGAACCTGAAGGGTGCTAACAAGGGAAAAGTAGCAGAGCAAGTCCCACGTAAGCAAGTGAATTAAAAGACAAATGCAAAAGGAGATGCACTAATTTCAGAAAAACTTCTTGACTTGCTAAATTCATCAGAATTACAACTTGTGTGGTACATCCTTTTACAAGAGGCTTCAACAAAGCCATAATTCCTCCAAAATTTGGTGTTCATACCCAAATTCTGAGCTAAGAGACACGGTTACTCTAAGACACATGTCAGGAAACCCTACAAGCATATAGTAAGCTATGACCAACATAGCTATTTATAGGGAAGCTCCTCAAACTTTTGGACGGGTGGAACTTGCCTTATACAGATCCCTAAACCGATAACATTACAGCATGCTGACATTTGTCAGCAAGGTCTGGAAAAGGGAAAAGAACGTAAGGGCACTAAAAGCTAAAGGTCAAACGGATCACTGTGCTTTGTGATCGGGCTGTGAAGTGAATAAAATCTACCTTTCTACGAACGTACACAAGTGCGCATGATGTTCACACGTGCGCATGATGTTCACACATCGCAATTTGTGATTAAAAAAGGCAGCCTAGACACATTTAGAAGTAAGACTTCAGGAGCAGTCTTCAGGATAAATATCTAGGGGGAGATGACTTAACATCCAAAGAAGTATAAAATTGTTTTATTTAAAAAAAATAAAACCACTTTTTTGTTTGATTTGGTAGCAAACACAAAACATCCAGAACTAATCACCTGACTTTCAAGAGGTCAGTCTTAAACTGTTGCCTGCCGGGGATGAAACTCTTTGCAAGCACACATGGGAGACAGTTGTAAAACCATTGCAGCAAAATCCGAGGCTGCAAATGCCTGAAAAATATCACTGGAAAATGCACCCTGGAGATGGGGGAGGGGGCGGGGGGGAAGCAGACAGTGTAATGAGCTCCTGGCTATGACAACACCACCTGCCGTGCAGTCAGGGGACTGAATCCATCTTATAGGGTAGGTTGTCACAGACACCACACAACTGAATTATCAAATTACTGGACAAGAGTCGGAAGAACTGCACACACAGATCGATGACAGACCAGTAATCACCTTATCTAGAGACAGTGGATAAGACTTTCAAGGAACACCTACGGATTTTGGATAAGAGATCTGACTAACCAGAGAGGTGAGGTTGGAACTTCTAGGAAATCCCAGCCAGAGCACAAGTCTTTCCTGAGAGTACTGGCCAGCATCCGGGGTTTGTGAAGTGCCCATAATGAAGTAGTACTGAAACTACAGGGTAGAGTTTACCACTGATGCAAGAATCGAAACAAAAGAAAAAAGTTTCCTCATATTCCTTTGCACTACCTCAACTTACTTCATTTTTTTCACCCAAATTCTGAAAAATCCAACAGATGCACAAGGTATAAAAATATGTAGGTACTAAGACAGAGGAAATTTTGAAGCATTATTTATAAATCATGACTACTTCGTACAGCTTTTTTTGTCCTGCATGAGCGATTTTGTTCTTAAACTGTATGTTTAGCCTTAGCTTAGTAAAGGTATTGGGCATCGGTCATGGAACTACAGTATTCCCTGTGGGCAAAAGTAAAACATGCCTAATGCTGAAATTCCAGTAGGATAAACGCATATACTTAAAACACACCTTTATTAAACATATGCATGCAAACAAACTGAACTGATGCAACAAGATATATGCATGGAAGAGTATGGCATTAAAATTGTAAAACAGGCTACTTATGAATCTAACTTCTAAGCACCTTGTGCTTTATATTCTTTAAACCCTTGACAGACACATTTTAATTTTCTATTTACAGTATGAGGCAAGTTTCTCAAATCAAGCACAGATTACAGCTACAACAAAATAGGGAGGGACTTTTTTGATGTTACAAAGTAGATTTAAAACTGTGAAACAGCCAAACTAGAAATGTTTCCTCCTACAGAGTTCCATCTCTCTATACTCTGGGAAGTTCATTTGGAACAGAGGGGGAGGCAAGCAAGAGAGACATTTCATGATCAGGCACCTGCTGAGGCCAATCACTCCCACAGTCCACAGCAGCAAACTTCTTTTGGCCCCTCAGCAGCAACCAGCTTCATGGCCGAAAGCCAAAAACCAGCCTACGCCATCCAGAGATGCTCAGGACACTTTCTAATAAACATAAATAAAATCACCCATCTAATATTAGATTTCTGTTTTGAGGGAAAAAAAACAAAAGCTTTGTTCTTGTTGTTTTAATCATCAGAATTCCAAAACTGCAAATATTGTTCTAAAATGTGTTCCAAACTGAGATGACAGAGAAATAAATCAGTTCTTGATCCATGATGAACTTCAAAAGCAACAATATAAAAAAGTAATCTCAACATAGATCTACACCTCAGGTTTTTAAAAGCCAACAGCCCAACACACACTGGAATACAATGGTTTTCTTGAGCTCAATTTTAGACGACCTATTACTTTGTCTCACAGTAATCAATATTTTTAAAAAGGCAAGAAAAATAGCTTTTTACCTTTTACTCTCAAGGTTTAATGAGTTGTTTTAAAAAGATCCTTTCCAGGAAAACTGCACTTGTGCACATACATGTGCACCTATCTCCAAATCAATGTAATTTGTAGGTCAATTAATTTCTAATTAACATACATCCATCTATTTTTCCTCACATGACTAAGAAGAAAACTTGTCAAGCATTCTTCTTCGAACCATCATTATTTAGATTTTATGCAGTTAAAAATGAAACATTAATTGCAGTTACTCAAATACAAAGGTCTGTGTGACTAGAGATAGAAGATGCCTTTTATCTTTTCCATGCTGCCTGCCTCGAAGGAATCCTAGCTGCTACCGGCTGGAGTGATGGTGTGCCACAACCACCCTCCCAAACAAAGTATTTAATAGTCTGACAGTAAAAAACGGTCCCCCATCACACAAACATCCTTCAGTGTCATCTGCAACTTTCCCTCAGAATGTAATTAATCACTCCCAATTTAAATCTCCCTGGGCTATCTGAAATCCCTCCAGCATTTCTGATACAAGG